CTTAAATTCTTTTATTGGTACATTTTAGGTATACAGTACATTTACATTTATCATTGGGTGCTTGTACCTGTACATGATGTATCTTGGTTCTTATTTTTTCCCCATTGCCTGTGCGCCATTCACCCCCTCCACCCTTCCAACTATTTACATAGATTCATTTCCATTTTTTTTCTTTTCTCATAAATTTTCCCTTTCCCCTCTTTCCTTTCCCCTTCACCTCCCATCACCCCTACCCCTTTGGACTTTTTCTACCTATTTCAATGTCTGCTGCTTTTAAATGAGTGGTCACTGCCTGTGCAAAACTTTGCAAGGAAAATGTGTGAACATCGCCCAGGCATCAGTTTTGTGAAATCCACCCTGCCACTTTCTATGGCTCCACTCAATTTTAGTACTTTGGATCTCCCTCCTCACTCCATCCAGCTTGGCCAGTATGGACCCTGATGACTGGTTTGGACACACTTCCCTGGATCAGATTGGCTCTCAGTTTTAGACACAGTTCTAGAATTTTCCCCTCCAGTCTCTTGCTTCTGGATGTATGGAGAGATATCTATGACTCTGCCTCTGCTGTCCATTTACCAAGCCAGTCTCCTGCACGAGAGAGGAGTCTGACCCAAATCTGATGCAGATAACAGAATGAGCCCAGAAAGCAGACAGGAAGTGAGAGGTGGAAAAACTTATTGCAAAAGCAACCCTAAAGGCAGATAAACAGTTAAAAACCACCATAGAGTCTCAATATTGTGAATAACCCTGGGGAAAAGTTTTTGAGGAGTCATGTGAATTTTGAAACCCTATTATTTTACTATTAAATGTTAAGAGATTAGTTTTAATTTAAAAATTGTTTTGTTGTTGTTGTTTGTTTGTTTTATTTTGAGACAGAGTCTTCCTATGTAGTCCAGGCTGGCCTGGAACTTGCAATCTTCCTGCCTCAGGCTCCTGAGTACTGGGATTGTAGGCATGTGCTACCATGCCCTGCTGAAAAATTGGCTTCTTCTTCTTTACCTACATCTTGCCTGATTTGCTTTGTGGTGAGTGGAATTAATGTGTATGTTAGGTTTCCCAGGGAGAGATTTTCTGTAATTCCTAATGGAAGTTTAAGGCTAACCAAAGGAAAAAGTGCTCAAAGCTTTTCTGCTGTAGGCATCTCTGACTCATGACATAAAAAAGTTAGCTGTGGTGTATGTAATCAGTGGGACCCACTGGCCCCTTATATGTATGGCCCTGATAAATTCTTTGCTTCTTTTTTTTCTTTTTCTTTTTTTTTTCCTTCTAGTACCAGGGATCAAACTCAGGAACTTGCACTTCAGAGGCAGGCACATTGCCACTGAGCTAAATCCCCAGCTCAATCCCTGATAATTTTTTTTTTTTGCTTAAATTCTTTTATTGGTACATTTTGGGTATACAGTATGTTTACATTTATCATTGGGTGCTTGTCCCTGATAAATTCTTGAAAGACATATACCTAGGAGCTGAAATCAGGCCAAATAGCCCTGGCTTTGGTTGAGAATGTAATCCCAAATCTACTTGATCTTCTACTCTGATGAGCTGCTCTAGAAACTCGGGAAACTACAGATGTCCCTTATTCTGCTGTAATACGAGAGCAGGCCCCAATCTGCTCCCTGTAGGGCTCCTCATTACAGGGCCTTACACTACCCACTGGCAGCCTCTCTGACCCTCACCCCACCCCTGGGCCTCCCAGGGGCAGAGGAGCCCAAACAGCAGCACCCAGGCCAATTACCTAGCTGCCTAGAGTTCTAAAAAACAGCCCAGAAGTGGAAGGCCTTCTACAAGAGAGCCAGGAGCCAAAATGAGTCCCTCTGCTCTTCCAAATTACATGGACATGCCCACAGAAGTCTGCTGGGGCCAGAATTTGGGAGTTATTCCTAAGCACATATGAGACGCTCCCTAGAGACTTACATGAAATTGGGAGAGAGAACATTGTAGAGAGGTGAAGTCATGAATAGGCAAGGATCATGAGCTCACAAAATGTGCATGAAAATACAACTATATGCTCTCATTTGTACTTACATGCTAGGGGCCTTGGGATATTCAGATTTCATGAAAGAAGCTGAAAATATTTTCAGGCTCTCCTTGACTTTTTGACATTGATTTCATGTACAGGGCAACTGTTTAGTTTTGTCAAATCCACACAGTAATTCAATGTGTGAAGCTTTTTGAAAAGTAAAATTAAAAAAAAAATCACTTCTTTACACCTCATGTGACAATATTTCATGATCTTGAAATGGGGATGTTAAACCATGGAACCCATTTGTCCATAACATGATATAACCTTCCCTGCTTTTCATATCACAAAGAGTTTTTCTAGTTTAAAATAATAGAAGTGGAGGATTTTATAAGTGCTTGGGCTTCCAAATTCTAGGTAGAAACTTCTTCTTAAAAACAGAACAAAAGCCAAAAACAAAACAAAAGAAGCCAAGTATGATTACAGCACATGGTTGTAATCCCAGCTATTTGGAAGGATGAGGCAGGAGGATTGCAGGTTCAAGGCCAACCTAGCCAGATCTTGTCTCAAAATAAAAAAAGAGCTGAGGGTGTATCTTTGTGGTAGACAATATTTTTAGCATAGGTAAGGCCCTGGATTCAATCCCCAGCACTGAAATAAATACATTCCAATGGCATTCACCAGTATTTCTTAATCTAAAGGATTATACTTTTAAAACAGTAGTAGTAGGCTGGGGATTTAGCTCAGTGGTTCCATCGCCTGCTTCACAAGCACAAGGTCCCGAGTTCGATCCCTGGTACCAACCCCCCCCCCAAAAAAAACCCCAAGCTAATAGTAGTAATATGTTAGTACTAATAGGAATACATTAGATCTGTGCTTCTCAGGAATCTAATAATCCCTGAGGTTATTTTTAAAGTTTCTCCCTCCACTTCTTTGTTTTCCTTTCTTTTGCCATTATCTTTCTTTCTCTTGAATATTATACTTAGAATAGAATCTTAAAAAGTAATTTTTATTTTGTTATATAAAATTTTGTTTTCTACTCTTAATTTTAAAAACTAAAGTTCTTAATTAATTTGCTTTTAGCCTCACTTCTAAAGCTTATGAGTGAGACTTCTTGGTTGCTACTGAAGTTTGATAAAGTATTCCAAGACCGACCTTTCCCACATTCTGCATACAGCATTCTCCTCTCTCTCCTCTCACTTTTCTCTCCTTTCTCAAGGGGAGGGCTGTTATGGTGGAGCTAGAGAGGCAGGATTGAGGTGGAGGGGGGAGAAGAGTAAGGGAGAGGAAGAATAGCATTCTATTTTCTTTGTATCCAACTCACAACCTCTAGTGATCTCTCTATATTATTAATATCAAGCTGCACTTTTGTCCCAAGACAATATTTGATAATCAGTTTTCTACATTTGATACATATTTTTCTACAGAAAAAGTGCTTGATTTCTTTTAACTGAGAGTCTCAGAAGAAAGATTCTACTTAAGAAAGGTTAACATTTATACTTGAAAATGCTGTGACATTTTTGGGAATTGCTGGGCTCAAATGGCTTTCTGGAGTTAGGAAACCAAAGAACCTGCCAGATGACATTTTTGCTCAAGTGGAGGAGGAGGTACAGATGAGAAAGAAATTCAGATTCTCAGCTGAATGCCTGCTTTAGATGTTAAGCCTCTCTGGCTGAGAACGTGCTTCCTTGCTCCTGCTTTTGGTGCGGTGCCAAGGGAATTGTCATTGTTAACTTGCAGTGGGAACCAGAGCCATTAAGACAAATATTAAAAGCCTGTTTCAGGATCATAACATTTTAGAGAGCAAAGGAATAAGATACCTGTCTAACCTGTCTTACTAGGTCATAAATGGAAAATGTGCTGGCCAGCTGAATTTTAAGCAAGAACAACAATTTTCCTATATGATTTGACATGGACCTTAAAGAGTCATTGTGCCTAGAAAAACAAAGTTGCTGTAACTTGGGTACTGGGGGAAGAAGAGGCAGAAAGTCTGGGTAAGTGAGAGTCGTGATACAGCAGAATAATCTCATCATCTGGCCAAGATTGCCTGTCCTGATGTGTTTAAATTCCAGGGAGTTGCCTTGGTTTTCTTTGTGGAAAACAACCCACATTTGTGCAGGCTGCAAAATGAATTTCCTTGAACTTCAGGGTACAATCTTTACTTCTCAAAAATAGGTTTTAGAAGATTTTGCTAGAAGTTTGCCAAGAGCTGCAGATTGCAAAAGGTTATTTTCATTTACAACTAAATCTCCTGAGTAACAGATAAAGATAGGTAAAGGACTCACAGAGAAAAATGATAAATATATGATGTGATGAGTGTATTAATTAGCTTGATATAACCATATATAAGTGTGTGTGTATCACATTGCACACCATAAATATATATTATTTTATTTGTCAGGTATACCTTAATTTAAAAAAGTAATGATTGGGTGGAGGGACTTCTTTCAATAGATGAGAACATCCTCCTTTCATTTTATTTCCAAATTAAAATGCCTGAAACCCGAACCCCCATGCAGACCAGAGGTGAAAATTTTTACCCCCTCCACCTCCTACCCTTCTTTCCTGTGAGTTACTTGACCAAAGATTACAGCTATTTTCAAGGTGATCTTTTCCATGTGACTCTTTCCTTTTGGATCTGGTAACTGCTCCCTCCCCTTATCACTTCTTCTTAGAGCCCAAGATTATCCTTTGTGGTTCTTCTACACCCAGCCCAGATTTTTATAAGCAAGTCTTTGTAAATAAGTCTATTTAGAATTATTCTAAGCTACACATGTCATCTGGTTCCTGCTAATTGTTCTGCAGGTTTTGTCACAGTCCTCTAAGGACATTCTAGGACACTACAGGGAACTCACAAGGTATACCGTGGAATCTAATGTAATGTCCCAGTCCATTGCTGAGCCCCATCTGCCAAGGTCGACAGTGCATTGCTTGATCTCAGACCCTCTCCCTCTGTTCCCCTAGCTGGCCAATCACCACATCCCTTTATTCCCACTGCCACTTCTGTGGCCCCAGCCGCCACCATCTCCCACTGTCTCCCATGGACCCTGCAGCCCATAGTTCCCTGCACTAGTCTTCTCACCTGCACCCTGCATTGCAAAGTACTCTTTCTAAACTGTGAATCTGATCTTGTCATGTAAATATTGCTTTCTAAACGTATGTGAAATGAGGGAACAAGGATATTACTCCCAGGCTTACAATTCCGCCATGGTTTTCTACTGCTCTTAGGTTAAAACCCAACAGTCTTATAAGGCTGACAGAGCTTACAAGATCCTTTGAGATCTGGCTTCTGCTGAACTCTCCAGCCTCATCTCTCATAACCCCTCCTCTGCCCCAGCCATACTGGCCCCCTTTGAGGTCCTGGAGTGAGATGTGCTATTCTTGGCCTCAAAGCTTCACACCTACATTCCTTGTGCTTGGATTTCTTCTCCTCTCCCTCTTTTCTCATCCATCAGGTTCCTGCTAAATGTTATCTGTTTAGAAATACCTTTCTTGACTCTTCTCCCTCAGACCAGACCAAGTCACCTATTCATCTCTTTTGTAGTATTCATCCCAATTACTGTTAATCATTTATGCAGATAGTCAAAGTTTGACTAATCTAACACATCTTGCTCCTGTGCTGCTTCCCTTTCCCCCCAGTCCTGGCCATCAGCACCATTTACCTGGATCGCTGAAATAACCTAACTTGTGTCCACTTTTGCCACCTACCCATGTTTTGGTTCTGCTAGATTGATCTTTTAAAAACATAAATGGGACCTGGGCATGTAACCCCAGCACTCTGGGAAGCTGAGGTAGGAAGATCTCAAGTTCAGCCCAGACAATGTTTGTCTCGAAACAAAAAAATTTAAAAAGGCAGGGCTAGGAGCAAGGGGGAATAGAGATGTAGCTTAGTATAAAGGTGCAGTTTTCAATTCTCTGTACTATAAAAAACCAAACCAAAACAAATCAACATGAATGGATCATGTCACTTCCCAGGTCAAGACCTTCTGGGAGTTTTTGGCCATACTAAGAATAAAATCCTAGTGCCATGCCCTGGCCCATTGCATCTGCTGTTGTGCTGCTTTGCTCCCTGTGTCTTATCCCCAAGTGTTCTCTACCTCACTCATTCTGGCCTCTGTTCCTCCAACCTGCCCCTCACTGTAATACACTGTTTCTTCCTCTTTTTCATTTTCAGTTTTGTCTCTAAAATTACCCATGTGATTGAGTAGTTTATGATGTGCTTGTGGGTTTTCATGTAGACAGCAGTGAGTTGTGTTGTCCCAATACCCTATCTCCTATACTTTTGGTAACTGCACTCCTCTTCTCAGCAGATTCTCTCCTACTCCAGTTTTTTTAGTTGAGGTATGACTGATGTTTAAAAAGGAATACATATTTAATGTATACATCTTGATAAATTTGAAATAAGCATACATGTGAATCTTTGACCATAAACAATGCTATAAACATAACTATGACCTCTTTCTCTCCCTCCTTTCCTCTCTCCCTCTCTTTCTCTGTCTCATAGGACATTTAAACATAAGGTCTACTGTCTTAAGAAATTTTTAAATATACAGTACACTATAGTGGTACTCTCCCCAGCCCTGGTAACTACTGTTCTACTCCTGCTTCAATGAGTTTGACAATTTTCAATTCCTGATATGAGTCCTACTCCAAACTTAATACATACTGCCTCTCACTCCCCTATTGGGCATATGACCCAAGTCTGATCAGTCTAGTCTTCCATCCCCTGGTGTTTGATTATGCATCTAATTAGTCTCTCACCCAGAGAAAAATGGACCAAATATTAAATTAAACAATACATAAGGATTTTCTTTCCTTTTCTCTTCCTCCTCCTCCCTCCTCATCTCTCTCCCTCCCTCCTTCTTCTGAAGTGTTGAATCCATGACCTCACATGTGCTAGGTATGCATCCTACTACTAGCTACATCCCCAGCACAAAAATTTCTTAAATGCTTCAAACCCAGTTCTTTATTCAACAAACATGCATTGAGAACTTTCTATGCTACATGCCTATTGTGCTAGGAGGGGAGGAAGCATAGCAATTGACTCAACAGACAAAAAAATGTCTCTACCCTAGACAATTCTGTAGCTCAGCCATTGTCAGCTGTTATGATTGTTAAAATTTCAAGTTTTAAAAAAGGATTGTAGGAGCTGGAGATGTAACCTAGTGGTAGAGTGCATCTTTTGCATGTACAAGACCCTGAGTTTAATTCCCAGCAGAATAAAACAAAAACAAACTCTAAAAAGGAGTTAAGAGCATTTACTGGAACCACTAAAGACTTTTGTGATCAAATAAGTCTTACCATAGATTTCATGGAGTCTAAGACTACTGTATAGGGCATATTAAAATGCAAGATATTAATAGAAAGGGATATTAAAATTCTATTCTTTCAAAGAGCTGAATCAGTGCTTGTTAGAGACAATATGTAATCAGTTCTGAATCTAAAATGACTCTTGGAAATAGAGACATGGCACAAGGTCATATTCACATCTTTCCTCTCCAGAGATCTTCAGAATATCACTACTCTATTTTAAAAAATGGTCTAAAAAAGAGAAAGAGAAATTTTAGTTTTAGGAATAGAAAGTATAAGAATGTGAGTTTGGTGTTGTTGAAAGAAAATTGGTCAAGCTATGCATCAATTTAGCACAACAAAAGCCTTCTTAATAGTTTAAAGCTTCCATTTTTATGATTTTGTTTTCACATTGTATTTTAGTTAATGAAGGAGAATTAAAAAATAGACGATAAAGAGGAAAATAATTGGTCATATTCCTACCATTCAAAATTAATTCCTGTTAATATATTGATATATTTGATTCCAACCTTTTCTATGCTCATACTACTTTCACAAAAAATTCAGTGTTTCACTATCTCTGTGTCTCTCCATCTACCTATCCTTCTTTTGAAAATACTGAAACATTAAACTAATATTAAATTCCCTTCTGAACCTTATCCCTCTTGGTTCCCAGGGATGACCAGAGTTTCAAACATGAATATCCTTCTATTCTACTTACATACTTTTATGTATATATACAAATAAAATGGATTATTTGGTCACTTACTCAAAACTAATCTGGGATTATGGTAAGGCAGTTGTAAGACCCACATACCCATCTTGATGTCTGAATTACAGTTTAAGTCAGGCTGAAAGCCCCACCAAAAGTATATGTATACAGGCATTTTCCTGCAAGAAAATTATTCTTTTCCCATAAGATGAAATTAAAAGTATTGTTATCCCTGGTATTTCACCCTGAATGAGTATGAGGACCACTGCTCTAGCAGAGGGGTTAAAAAATCTTTATTGTGTCATGTTGTGTGACAGATGCCGCCATAGATGTTGGACTTAGTAATAAACAAACTCCTTGCCCTCCTGGGGCCTATATTCTATTGGGATATAGACAATAAACAGAAACCAGTAGTGTCTTAGTTACTTTTCTCATTTCTGGGACAAAATACCCGACACTCAAAGTTAAAGGAGGAAAGGTTTATTTCAGCTCAATTTATAGAGGTTTCAGTCCATAATCAGCTGGCTGCAAGGCAGGGCAGCAGGGTAGAGGGGCACCACAGAGGGGAAACAGTTCATGACATGACAGGGAGAAGGCAGTGAGCAGCAAGCAGAAAGCCTGCTTTTTTTTTTGGTCCTTTATAGTACATCCAAAATACAGGGCTATTGATTGGTGCCACCCATACCCATGGTGGGGCTTCCATTATCCACCTTTAATCCCAGTATCAAACCCTCAATCCACATTCACAAACTCTAAATCTAGCCACCTCTGAAATGCTCCATCTATGAGCACATGAGACTTTGGGGGTCCATTTAGATATAAGCCATAAATAAGTAGGCATCTGGTGATGAAAAATGTGAAAAAGAAAAAGGAAATCCAGAGTGAGAATGAGGGTGAGGATGTGTGGGTGGGTGAGGGAGATCTGTTTGAAGAGATGATCTTTGATGAAAATACAGTGGATACTGTGAATACAGTGCAGGAAGGAGCCAGAAAAGCTCACACAAACAGAGCAAATTATAGAGCATCCTTCCAGGTCAGCCCCAGTGACCCAGCTCCAACCAGGCTGCACCCCCTAAGAGCACATTTAGCTGCTGAACTCTTTAAAAATGAATCCGCTGATGACTATAGTGCCTCCATGGTCCAATCACCTTCCCAATACATGAGACAAAATTTGGGGGAGGGGTATCTTGGATTCAAACCATAACCATAAACCATGAGTGATGTGGTGGGAGGAGTATGCTGTACAAGGATGTTAGGACTTCTAGGGCCTAGAAAACAACTGCAAGTATTAGGAGTTTGTCTTTGCTGCCTTGAAAACTCTCTTTGAACCTTCTTCCCTTCTCCCACATTCAGTGCTCTCATACTACCCAAGGCCATGACAACCTGCCTAGAACTCCCCCTCCCTTCTCCAGGGAATAGCACCTCTTTCTTTCTAGAGCACGTTCCCCCCTCCCCCAGTACAACTATGTGATTCAAAGGGAGTTGCCAAATTACTACAAATCCTGCTCTTTAGTCACAGATGATGAATCTTTGTGTGGAAATGTGACCAAAATGGCACTAATTTGAGTATTTCATACACTGACCACAGTGTGTTTCATAGCTTGATCAAGGCTAGGTCAAATCATAAGCCAAGTTAACAAGCATCCATCTTCAGCAATATTTGAGTTAGATCTTAGGAAAACTGTAGCCTCTTCTCCATATATGTCTCTTTTCCACTCTCTGCTAAGGACTCTTTGGTCTCATTCATTTTTGAATCTCCATCATTTAGCAGACTGGCAATATAGCAGAGTTACAATAAATATTTTTAAGCAAAATAATGAAGATTGAAACAACTTTTTAAAACAGTACTCATTATTTTATTCCCTGTGAACCCATGAAACTTTGCTCATATCTCTTTTATGGTGTTATGGCTTTCTATCTTGTATTGTGATTTGTTTGTATGACTGCTTCTCCCTGAAATGAAAACCTTCAGTGGGCAGGAACTATATAAGAAGTACAGTGCTTTGTGAACAATCAGCATGCAATTAATATTTAATCCAGTTGGGAAAAATTTTTTGAGAGGAAAAAGTATCTATTATGATTTAATTAATATGAGAAATAAATGTATATATGCTAACAGACACAGAATATAAATAGCTCTTTGCTTCCACAGTACTGTCATTGTAGGGCCAACAAGGATATTCTGAAGTTTAGACTTGCTGATTTGTGTGCACAGGGCCTAACAGCCAGAGCAGTTCAATTAATTTGCTTTTCCTCTTTTTCCTTCAGGTCTCCTCTCCAGTTAATGGTAATTTTGACTTTAAAAGCTATAAGAAAAACTGATGCCTGGAAAAGTCAGAGGGTTACTCCAGTTCAGACAGCAGCTCAATAGCAGAATCAAGAACAAACCTCCCCTCTCAGCCCTCTCTGGTATGGGTCTTTGCACAGCCCCAGCCTTGAGGGTGTGGGGATAATTCCTACATCTAGGACTCAGCTGGCACGTATAGAAAGAGATGCTGCATGTCAATGCCACTGTCCTCTTCACATTCAGAATGGGAGCTTCTCTGACACCTCAAATCTCCAGTGTTTATCTATTTTATATCCAATACTCACATTGCTGGCTTGTGAACTTGTTATCCTTGGAAGGTCACAATTATCTTTACATTGTGGGAGGAACTCTGGGGAATAAGCTTTTTAATATTCACAGAGCAATTTGCAGATACTCAGCTTAGTCATGAAGTCTGCTTAATGATGTTGATCATAAAAGTCTGGGTAGTCTATAAAAGTCTGGGTAGTCTATTTCTAAGCTGTCATCCAGGCTGACTAAATGATCCACTTTACCTCTGGCCTGAACTCCAAGAATAGTTGGAGTTTGGGTCCACACCATATAGCTATAGTCAGCTAGACTTTGCCTCAGCACTATCAACATTTGGTCAGATTGCCAGGGATTTAGCTCAATGGTTTCGCCGCCTGCTGTGGAAGCACAAAGACCCCAGTTTGATCCCTGGTACCAAAAAAAACCAAAAACAAAAATATTTGGTCAGATAATTTTTGTTATGGGGCCTCTCCCATGCATGGTAGGGCTTTTAGCAGCATCCTTAGCCTCTACATACTATTTGACCGTAGCACCACTCATCTTCCAACCAGTTTTTGCAACCGAAATATCTCCAGTTAGCACCAATGTCCCTTGAGGCACAAAGCTGACCCTAGTTGAGGACCACTGACAAAATGAGCTACTTGCTCATTATCCTCAGAGCCAGAGATGAATTTTCCCACACTCATCTTACCTCCAGGCTTCCCACTGTAAGTGGTGTCTTGTTTCTTTCAGTCTTACTGTGGACTATTTCTTCCTTATGTGTCTTACAATTGCTGGTCACCTGGATGCTTAAGCAGCTTGATCTCATTTCCTTCTGGCCTTGGATGACCTCACTGTTATCCTGCATTAGCCCATGAACTTTTGGACCAATAAAAATAATGTACACCCCCAAAGCCCAAACTTCTGGGAAGATGATGGAGTGGTGAACGGCAGAGAAACAGCATCTCCAAGATTTGGTGTCCAGATGCTGGAATATAGCAACATGAGGAAGAGAAGAAGGAGGAAAGTAGGTTCCCAGGACCCAGCAAAGATCTGAAGTGAGAATTAAAACCCATAGAGAGAGCAAAGAAACTCTTCAACAAAGAAGGAGGTGGCAAGCAGTGCTTTCTCCCTGAGCCCTGACTTACTGCATGGGAGGGGCAGCCCAAACCTGCAGATGTATGGTGACTAATGGAAACCCCAGAGGCCTTCATGGAGAAACACACCAGTAGAACAAAGCAGTGAACACAGCAGACTGCAGTGGCTGGTGAATTGTTTGGGTTCAGACATTCCCTAGGAGAGGGTGATTGGCCGGTAGCCATTTTGAAGACAGGCCAACTGAGCTTGGAACTCAAAGCAACTGCTGGCTCCATCTAGCAGTTCCCAGCATCAGGGTGAAGTGGAACTGAGTTCAAGTCAGCAGGAGGTCAAACAACTGAGTTCAAATTGGCAGGAGGCACACAGAGTGTTGCAGGCTGAACAAATTGGGTTCCAGCCTCACAACCAGAAACCAGACCTAAAGGTTTCCTAAAGTGGACCTAAAGGTGCATATTTGCTGGGATTATTCACCACCCCATCATAAATCTAGAGCTGGCTTGCTGGGATTAATTAACACAGATCTGGTTTGCCAACTCTGCCTACCAGGGACAGCAGAGACACACCCTGAAGTAGACATTTTTCTCCTTCTTTTCTTCTTTTTTTGGTTTTGTTTCATTTTCTTTTCTCTTGATTGTTTGATCTTGTTTTTATGTGAGTGTGAACATTGTTTTTAGTCTTCTTGTTGTTGTTCTGTTCCTATTTTTATTTTTTCCTTCTCTCCCTCCTGTCTTCTTCAACAGTTTCTCAAGGTTTCAGAGACCTTCCCTTGTCCTGTAGCCTTGCTTTTAATCTCTTCCTCTTCCTTTTTTTTTGTTCTGGGAATCGAACTTAGGATGTTGTACTTGCCAGGCAGGTGTGGTTCTACTGAGCTAAATCCCTGGCCCTCTTCCTTTTCTATTTCTGTATTTCCCCCTGTAAATACTTTATAATTTCCTCCTGTGAGGGTAAAATTGCCATATTGAGGGTATATTTTCTGTATACAATTTTCTGGTTTGTTTTAGATTTTGTTATATAACCACAAATATAGTTCATATGGTTAAAGTTAGCAAATCAATTGTTATCACTGTTTGACATTTTCTGGGCTATTGATGCTATTTTCATTGCTGATTACACTACTTTAGCCAAGGTAATATTGTTCTAATCTGTTGTTCTTCCTAGTATTCCAAGGCTGAGATTGTCTAAGAGTCATAAACAATACTATAGGCCAGTGCCAAAAAACCAGGGGCTAGGCCAAATAGGCAGCAACTTCTCATCCCCAATAAATTGAAGAGGTAGGATCTCACAACAGACTCAAAACCCAAAATCCAGCACATCTGGAAGACATCTCTGAGAAGTAGTCACTTCCAAGTGTTCTAAATACTAGCAAGAAAGCTACCTGCCATAAGCAATTTACAAGCATCAACTCAGGAAGTAAACTAAAAAAAGTGAAGATCAAAAGACACTTAAGCAAGATGCAACCCCAGACTTCCACTTCACCGAAGGTAAACCCAGGGGCAATGAGGTGTAATAATTCAAAAGCTACCCACCTGGAATCTCTGAAGTGGTAACAGGAGAAGTAACAAAGAAGATGAATGAGGCTCTAGAAAAAATCCAATCAGAAATAATTTCTCAGATAGCTACAGAGATGTTGACCATAATTAAAGAAGTGGTTAGTGACTCTAGAGCAGATACAGATTTTTAAAAAAAAGTAGAGGAGTTTAGGAAAATGATGGAAACCATGAATGCCCAACATAGGAAAGAAATTTGAATCCATGAAGCAGATTCAAACAAATATCTAGGAGATTAAAAATTCTATTGAAAGTATATTCAATAGAATGAGTCAATATGAGGACAGAATATCAGATGTAAAAGACAGGGTTGCAGTTAGTGATCATGAAAAGAAAGATTTCTTAAAAATAGCAAGGCACCACAAAAAATCAATCCAACATATGCTAGATGATGCACAGAAGAATTACACAAGATTGATTGGAGTCAGTGAAAAAGAAGATAGCACAAATGACATTAAAAAACCTGTTTCCAGAGGTAATGGCAGAAAACTTCCCAAGCATAGAAAAAGAATTTGACATACAGATAAGTGAGCATACAGAGCTCCAATTAGCCATGATTAAAAAAAAACCAAAAAACTTTTACCAAGGCATATAGTAGTCAAGATTCTGGAAATGCAAGACAAGAACAGAATATTAAAAACTGTTAGAGAAATGAAACAAATCACATATGAAAGAAAGCCCATCAGAATCACAGCAGACTTCTCAACACAAACCCTGAAGTCAATGAGAGATTAGAGTGAAGCATTTCAAGCCCTAAAAGAAAACAACCTCCAACCCAGATTGATGTGCCCCACAAAACTATCTTTCAAAATTGATGTGAAATAAGATACTCCCATGACAAAGAACAATTGAAGAAATTCGTGATCATCAAACCAGCACTCCAAAATGTTCTGAAAGACATTTTAAAAAGAGATAAGGAGGACTACAATTCCAAGAACCCCAACAGAATAAACCCACTAGGCAACACAAATAATTAAACAGAAGGGGAAAAGGGAACCAACAACAGGAAAATAATATGGCAATGATAAGTCAATACATAACAGTTATAACCATCAATGTACATGGTCTCAGTTCAATAAAAAGTAACAGACTGGCAGAATGGATCATGAAGCACGATCCAACAATATGCTGCATAAAAGAAGCACATTTATTTATTTATTTATTGAGAGGAGGATAACATGTTTAGTTTTATTTCAATCAAATCACATTTTATTTCCAGCTGCTGCAAAATGCATCTACAATTTTCTATTACAGATCCACTTTTAAAAGGTTTCCTGTGACATTATAGCAAGACTTTTTTCAAACAGAGGAGTAGCCCCAAATTCTTCAAAAAATAAAAACTTCATTCCAGTAAATGGTAGACACATGAAGTCACAATAAAGTAGACACTTAAAAGGACAGCCAAAAGTCTTCCAACAGTTTATTAGAAAGAATGTAGACATTTAAAAAAATCCCCACTGTCATGAACATAAATTGAGGTTTTTCAGCTAGGGTAAAAGCTGAGTCAAAAACAGAAATAAAAAGTCCAATAGTGTATTAACACCTTTTCATTCATTTGCCCTACTGATGGTGCAAATACAAATCTGGTTTAAATGTACAGACTCTCAAGCAACAATGTACAGCTTTCTTCGTCTTCTATGCTAAGAGATGTAAAAGTTTTTTTTTGTGATACTAAAACAATTTTATTTTGCATAACAAGCTTATTTTTTTAAAGTCATATAGACAAAACAAAGTAAACATTTAAACAGATTTTAACTTCTGCCCTAAAACTGTCCCATTAAGTGTCAGTCTCTAAACATTTTTAGTTCAGTAATCATCATCTTCAAGAGATGTAAAAGTTTAAGGGCCAAACAATACCAAATGTATAGGCTTCAAAAACCATCAAAGTTGAGGGCATTCACTAATTTTATCTAGGATACATTTGGAACATTGACAAGTGATCACTTACGTACAATAATGTGAAGTAAATTTTTTGAAAAATAAACTTTAGTGGAACAATTCTGAAAGGTACACCACAAGAATGGCAGTGTTGAAACACATTTAATTCAAAAAGAAATTCATAGAGTGAAAGTCAAAGGATGGAAAACAATACTCCCTGTGACAGGAGCCCAGAAAAAAGCAGGAGTAGCTAGTCTATGTGCAGTCAAAGTGGATTTCAAGCCAAGACTGACTAAGAGAGACAAAGAAGGTCACTACATCCTTGTAAAGGGAACAATCCAAGAGGAAGAGATAACAATCATAAATATATATGCACCAAATACCACCACATACCACTATATTAAACAAATATTAATGGACATGAAAAATCAATAGGCACTAATGCAATTGTAGTGGGAAATCTCAATACCCCACTGTCACAAATAGACAGATCAACTAGACCAAAAAATCAACCAAGAAACATCAGAACTGAACCA